AGCCTCTGAAAACACAGTACAAATTTCTGTACATTCTACTGCTTGTCTGATGTACAGGGTTGTACCTTTATTTCCATGAGGATGGAGGTTGAGCGGCATTCTGAGATGTTTCACATTGGTATGAATAGCCAGTCAAGGAGTTTCATCTTATCAAATGTGGTAGGCTGTTTTTCGTTCCTTTGTTTGTTTTTGTTTTTTGAGATGGCAAGAGTACCATTATTTAGGATTTTCTTCTTTTTCACAGCTCTCGGCTTCTTTAATGTGGCCAGTCATAAATTGCATTTTTGCCCTTCCTACTTGAGTCTTACTCTTTGGTACTGATGCTGACAAAACATTTATTTATTATTATGGCCTCAAGGCTATACATCCCTGGGTCAAACAAGCCAGGCTTTCTTAAGTTACATTTAAGTGTATACACTTTAAGACACTCAACTGTGAATGAATTGGCAGCAGGATAAAACAGCCCAAGCATTGTTCTTTTATTAACAAAGACAAGAAGAAAATAATACTATTTCTGGAGACAACTTCTTTCCTTTTACTTTGTCTCTCCTTATAGCAATGTATTCCACTGTGCCAGACTGTTTTGTTATCTCTCCTGAATTTTAGCAACCAATCACAACTCTGGCATAACCACATTCTTCCAATGATGAGTGGTTTTTTTCCCCCCAAGAGAGGCCAATCTTACAGCCAACAACTATTGACATCAAAGCATCCCTACATATAAGAGCAAATCAAAGGTTGTTCCTCAGTATATTGACAAGCCTGACAACACACACACACAAATGTGAGAAAATAAAGATTGCTTTAAAAATGTTTTTAAAAGTTTTAAATTGAGATACTTTGTTTGCTGACGTGGTTTCCTGATCATGTTCTGTTTCTCTTAAAAGACCTATATTGGAAATTGTAAAAGAAAAAGTTAACGTGGTGATGTTCTTAAAGGTATTCACCAAAACCTGGCAGGGATAATAACCTCTAAATAGTCCACTATCCCTGCTTCTTTTCTCTTATTTTGACCAAAAAAAATGAAGCCACTGACTGTATTCATCTTGAGGCTTCCCCATGATAACAGAGAGACTAATGTTTTTTTAATTAAATCTCAAACCGCAAAGCAGCTTGAGAAACAAACGAGTTTGCTCTCCAATCACAGATTTAAATTGAATCGTGTCCTTATCAAATCTCAACTATCCAATTCTAATCGTATCAGAGTAGAGTTGCAAGGGTCTCGTGTACATGTGTAGGCGCACTTGAAAATCTTAAAAGTTTCCAGCACAGTATCAGTGCAAAACTTTACAGAACTGCACTGTATATATATATATATCACTTAGCAGGCAACCCCCCCCCTCTTTTTTTTCCCCTAGAGTTCTTTTAAATGTTTCGTTTTTAAAGAAAATCTTGAGTTCTTCTCAAAAAGTTTAGTCCTCAGTGCTCGAAGAGTATTCTTGCAGGAAGTCATTTGGTTGTGCATAATTAAGCTAGATAGTAATGCGGTCATGGAGTATATGCTTGGTTGCCTTCAAAGGTATCCTTTCTAACCAAGATGAGAAAAACAAGCTTGTTTACAAAGGTTACACATTTTTCAATCTATAAAACCCTGCAGTTGCTATTTCCCTTGAACCATGCAGCGTTCAATAGCATAGTAAATTATGATAAAAAGTTAAAAGATAAATTTCAACCCTTAGGTCGCTGAACTGATTTATTGTGTTCTGGGTCTTTGATTTATTAAAAACATGCTGATGATTAATATGCTCTACAAGAAATATAAAGGAGTATTATAACCTAGATATTCATAATTCACACATATGTTCCTCATTCTCAATAATATTTTTATTTGGAGCACCCTTGTTAAATGTCACCCAGGATTGTCAATATTGTTAACTTTGATTCTTAATGGCTTAGGAACCTGATGGTTAATCAACACCCCTGCAACTTTCATATAACTTGACAAGGGCTATTCCAATATGTAGCTTTTATATTTTCCATATTGAATTTGCCCCACAGGTATAACTTTTTAGCTTCATCAAATAGTTTCTGATATAGGAGTCAGATGAAAATAAAAGTGCAGTAAAAAAAAGGTAATATTCAGCCTAGAAAAGTATACAATGTATCATTTGGGGGTAGAAGTGGGAGGCTGTATGTTACCATAATTATTTTCTAACTATCTAAGGAAGCACTGACTCTTACTAGAAAATAAATTGAAAGCTGTAATACAATCACAGTTTCCCCAGAACTGATTCCCCAGTTTTAAATAAGACACTGGATATTGGAGCAAGTTTATCTAAGTCTCTTATTCCTGCATATTGTCTCTGAAAGCAAATTAATTCCTCCAGAAATTTAGTTAGCCTGTATAACTAAAGAAAAGCTAGCCTTGAAAGTTGGCAATAAAGAGTTTGCTGTTTCTTTTGTGGAAATGTGAAAAGATATCCTTTGTTGGAAAGGACATTGGGCATTCAAGAGGATCTACTGTGTATAGATCCATTTTTACAAGGGCCTAGCTATGTGGATTGCTGCAAGCACTATGATAAAATTAATAAGCAAAACCTGTAAAGATTTTTATAGGGACTACTCCGTGCCAGTTGAAAGCATTCCTTGCCTGATTTGAGGGTTGAACCATTGATTTACTCATCATGAATAAAATTTATATAGCCAACCCAACTCACAAACTGAGCCTCTGAGCAGTGTACAACAATCCAATAACAACTACAAAATCAGGCGATTTGAAAGTATAAAATCCAGCATAAAATAAAAATTATATTTAAAAAAAAGCCAACCATAGACAAAGGGAGGATATGAATGGGCACCTAGTAATGGAGCCATGAGAACCCTAGAACTGATTACATAACCGGGTCTTGGGGGACTTCTGTAATGTCAAAAGGAATGGAGTAAACTTAATGTCAGGAGGAAGAATGAGTCAGGCGAAACCTAAGAATGGCATAGAATAACTCAGAATCTTGCCAGGCTAAACTTACATTACCCTCAGCCTAATCCAGTGATGGCGAACCTATGACACGCGTGTCAGTGCTGACACGCGTAGCCATTTGGGGTGACACGCACAGGATTTCATGCGATTCATCCTCGGCTCCTGAACGGCCGCCAAGGATGAAAGAATCTGTGCTGGAGGAATGGGGGGGGTCGGGACGTGTGATCTCCCCCGCCCACACTCACTTACTGTATCGCCGCCGCCCCTTTCTGAGCGCAGGGGCTGCTGGTAAGGCGTGCGTGCCGTGCGCACACACGTCATCAGTGCGGCGAGGGAGGACCCGCAGGAGAGGAGCGCGGGAACAGTGCACGCCTCTCTCCAGTCAGGCCGGCACAGAGAGTCTACTCCTGGGACTGTCGGTTACGACCGCACCACACTTATCTCAGTTCACGGCAGGGCTGTGGAGTCTGCTGCTTCCAGCTCCACGTCCTCATCAACATGCCGCTCCGGCCCGCCCCCGCTATGAATATTCATATTCTTCGCCCTCGCGTCACTAGGAATATTCATAGCAGGGGCGGGCTGGAGCGGCATGTTGATGAGGACGTGGAGCTGGAAGCAGCCGACTCCACAGCCCTGGTTCACGGCACCCCAAACAAGTTCAATAATATCAAGGGCAACATACGAAATCGACTGATGAACAAAGAAGTTACTAAGCAGGTATGTTAAATAATTTGTTTTTGGTTTATTAAATACAATTATATATTGCAATTATACATTTTTGTAGTTTAAACTATAAATTGCGTAAAATTATGTTTTTGTCGAAGTGACACACAACGCGAGTTATGCTCGATTTTTTGCCGATTTTTGACACACCACGCCAAAAAGGTTGCCCATCACTGGCCTAATCGATATACCCTGGGAGATTCTAGGGAATCTCCCAGGGTATATCTAACTCTCTTCCCCTGTCTTCTATCTAGCTATGGGATATGTTGTCTCTTGTCTCACTCCTCTCCTTGGAATGAGCTCCCTCCTTTATAGGAAACTGTCAAGTCACTGAAGTCCATCAGAATCCCTTTATAGATATAAACCTCAGAGAATGTTCCATAAGGCAGGTGCCACAGCACAGAATACATGTCTCCAAGGACCCACCAAATGTAGGTCCATAACTTATGGTTCCAACAGTAAAAACATTTTTTTTTGCACTGTACCACATTTCAGAACATGATGGAAATATTTGGTTTGTATTTAAAAGGGAAAAGAATGGAACCTAACAATTATAATGGGCTGAAAGCTACTGTGTTGTCCTGGAATATATTCTCCCATTCTCTTGGGTGGTTTTTTTTTTTTAATCCAGTTGAGAATGCTAACATAATGTTTTTTTCCCCCCCAAAAGTGCAGCTTATTCTTGCTTTAGTATAATCCAATATTAATCTATGCCTTACTGTTTGATAAGCCTCTCATATCAAGTACACTTTCAATCACTACAAGAGATGCATTTTGTATAAGTTACTAAAAAAAAAACCTGTTCTCTAGCATACATAAATGAAGAAAACATTACCCATGATATGTGCACCGTAGTGCTCCCACACCTGCAAGAATAATAGAAATATTGTTGACTGATCGTTCCATGGCCAAGAATATGAGTTGAACTAACTCAAATAGGAATGATAAATACTGTAAAGAAATAAATCCCCCAAAAGTACCTCAGCCTCTAATTAACAATGTTGGGACATAATTGAACTGCAGCTATCATTTCAACAAATGTTTATTATTCCCGATCACAAGTATTTGCCTTTATAGTGTGTGTGTGTGTGTGTGTGTGTGTGTGTGTGTGTGTGTGTGTGCCTGTGCCTGTGCCTGTGCCTGTGCATGCACAAACTCTCTCACACACAAAACCCTCAGGTATCTAAGTAAAAATATGAAATAATTTGAGGATGCAGTTCTTGAATCGTACAGACTTTTGATATCTGGATTTATTTTTTACTTTAAACTTTTTACTTAAAGTTTTTCTACTAAGAAAAAAGTAGGTGGAAAAGTCAATATCACTTGAGAAATCTCAGAAAATAATTCTGTTTATTTACAGATGATAATGAATGTGCAAATGCCACACAACTTTGTGGAGAAAAGGCGAACTGTACAAACACTATGGGAAGCTACTTCTGCATGTGCAAAGATGGATACAAATCTAGTAATGGCAACACAAGCTTTGTAACCAATGACGGTACTTCTTGTAAAGGTAAGATCCCAAGAGATCCCCTGTTCGTTTAATGATGTTTTATTCCTTAACCATTACGTCCTTTTCTGCCTTTTCTTTTCTTTTACCTGTTTATTCTGTTGCTTAAAATATTCTCATAGATAAATTATAATGAAAATGAATATTTTTTTAAAAAAAATAGACTCTAGCAGTATCAGACTAAATGAACTCAATATAATAATTTAGTTCCATATAATTTTGTACAATTTTGTATGCATCATGGTGGGATAATTTAATACATGATGGTTTGCATGTAAGGTAAAGATTTCCCTTTCAGTCATGTCCAACCCTAGGGCACAGTGTTTATCTCTGTTTCTTAGCCAAGGGAGCCAGTTTTGTCCAAAGACTATTTCCGTGTTCATGTGGCCAGCATGGCTTTATATAAAAGGTGCACACAACTCTGTTACTTTCTTACTAAAGTGGTACCTATTAATCTACTTGCATTTGCATGCTTTCAAACTGCTAGGCGGACTGAAACTGGCAAGTAACAAGAACTCACCTATTGCACAGAGCTTGAGTCTCAAATCTGAGCTGTCAACTCTCTAGCTGACAAGCACAGCATTTTCAACCGTATTTAAAGTATTTAATTATTTACTTAAATACTAAGTAAAATATAAAGTGCTTGTTACATGGTATTTAATTTTGTATATAATCTTGAAGAAATTTATTTTGCATTAGAGGAAGAAATATGAAACTTTTCTTCTACTTTTTCAGTCTAGGAAATAATAAATCAGTATATTTTGGGGGCCAGTATAAAATCCCTGTGTTGATATTATCTTGTTCAAGTCACATCTCTTTCTTTTAAAGAGATGTGACTTGAACAAGATAATATCAACACAGGGATTTTATATTTGCCCAAAAATAAACTGATTTATTATTTTAGGGTTGTACAAGTCCTGAATAAGAATTTCCCCAAGTGAAATAAATTTCTGTGCAGTTATATTTTTTCCTATGTAAATTCTACTGTATTCACTGAAGCATGGGGATTAAAAATTTGATTCCCTAAATATTTTCATGTTAAACCAATTACATTCCCTCTCCCTCCCCCCTTCCCCTCCCGTCTCCTTGTGAGTATGTCTATGCCCTTCTGGGAGTATGGAACCAGTCTAAAAAGCAAGTTCAACAAGTCCTGCCTTAAGTCACGAAAAACCAACTGGGTGATTTTGGGGCAGTCACTCTCTTAGCCCAACCCACCTCACAGGGTTGTTGTTGTGTGGAAAATAGGAAGAGGAAGATGTGTTGGATATATTTGTTATTTGTAAAATAATAAAGGTGGAATACAAATAAATAAAGAAATAAATAATTGTAGAATTTGTAGAAAACTCGAGTTTCTATAAGCATTAACTTTGTGAAACAGTGAGTGCATCATAAGGTAAGAATTTTTGAACCAAGGTATCTCAAATTATCTCAGATAAATTTCAGGATGTATCCAGAATCCAGGAACCATTCCTCCAGAGAAAAGGAAATTTAAGGAAGTTGCTTCAGCACTGCTTGACTGCTGTTGCTGCTACTGCTGCTGTAATCACATGATACTCATTTTTAACAGGAAGGAAGGAAAGGAGGGAGGGGAAAAGGAGGGAGGCAGGCAGGAAGGAAGGGAGGAAGGGAGGAAGGAAGAAGATATAGGTCTCTCCATCCTGGTTCTCCTTGACCTCTCAGCGGCTTTCGATACCATCGACCATGGTATCCTTCTGCGACGACTGCAGGAGGTGGGGGTGGGAGGCACTGTTTTGCGGTGGTTCTCCTCTTACCTCTCAGACAGGTCGCAGTCGGTGTCAGTTGGAGGGCAGAGATCGACCCCTAGGCCCCTAACATATGGGGTGCCGCAGGGTTCGGTCTTGTCCCCCCTACTTTTTAACATCTACATGAAACCGCTGGGCGAGATCATTCGGCGGCACGGGATAAAATACCACCAGTATGCGGACGATACTCAGTTGTATCTGTCCGCCCCGTGCCAACTCAATGAAGCGGTGGACGTGATGAACCAGGGCCTTGAAGCTGTTAGGGACTTGATGAGGGCTAACAAGCTTATGCTCAACCCAGATAAGACCGAGTGGCTGTTGTGTTTCCCTCCCACTAATTCGGCAAGTATTCCATCCCTCAGGCTGGGGGGTCAAATATTACGCCCCTCAGACAGGGTCCGCAACTTGGGAGTCCTCCTGGACCCACAGCTGACTTTTGAACACCATCTGTCAGCTGTGACCAGGGGGGCATTTGCCCAGGTTCGCCTGGTGTACCAGTTGCACCCCTACCTGAACCGGGAGGCTCTCACAACAGTCACTTGTGCCCTTGTGACCTCTAGGCTGGAGTACTGCAATGTGCTCTACATGTGCTCTCTCTCTCTCTCTCTCTCTCTCTCTCTCACACACACACACACACACACACACACACATCTGAATTTTTGAGCACATGTGTAGTTCAGTACATTGAAAATCTAATTTATCCTCTTATCATGCGAAAAAGTTAACATTTCCAGTTTCTCAGTTTTGTTAAATGAGGCCATGCTTATATAAGCTGGACTTTTATGAAACCAAATTTCATGAATATAACTAAACATAAACACTTATCCACTTCATGAAATACTGTTTTCTCCAATGTAAAATTATCCAAATGTTCTAAGATGCTACATAGCCGATTCCTAAGGACTTCTGTGCTAACTTAACTTTTTAAAACTATAAATCACATATTTTCAGGAGTTCTCAATGTTGGAATGTTGTCCTGCAAGGAAAAAAGATAACAGGTTCTTCTATACCTATGCATTTGTCGGAATTCAGATCACACATTCTTTTCCGTTAACAATTAAAATAGAGGTGATGGTAAAATTTATATTACAATGTGCTATTTTAATTTTTGATTATTTAATTGATATGCTGCCACATCTTATCAACTCCCCATAGGTTACAGCAATTTAAAATGCAGCGATAGTAAAATGTCCACAATGAAGTACAATAAAAAAACAATTTAGCATATTAAAACCAGCACAAATCTCAGTTCACCCTCAAACATTCTCTGAAGCAATTCAGTTTCCTAACTAACTTATGGAAGACTGCTACAAATGAGACCAATTGTGTTCCCTAACATAATGTGTTCCAAATCACTACAGCATCATTGAAAAATAGCTCTTTTTGGACTCAATGCTGGTTTGGTTGGTTTGTGCTATCTTGTGCAATTTGTGTTATTCCTTGGTTGTTTAATGCTGATATATACATACAGGTAGTCATCGACTTATAACCACAACTGAGTCCAAAATGTATGTTGCTAAGTTAGGCATTTGTTAAGTGAGTGTTGTCCTATTTTACGATTTTTATTGTCACCGTTGTTAAGGGAATCATTGCAGTTGTTGAGTTATTAACACGGTTGTTAAATGAATCTGCCTTCTCCATTGACTCTGCATGTCAGAAGGTCGCAAAAGGGATTCTGAAACCGTCATAAATATGAGTCAGTTGCCAAGCATCTGAATTTTGATGATGTGACAATTGGTGACAATGGGGGATGCTGCAATGGTCATAAGTGTGGAAAAGAGTCACAAGTCACTTTTTCAGTGCTGTTGTAACTTTGAACAATAACTAAATGCACTGTTGTAACTTGAGTTGTACCTGTATTAAGATTAACATCCTATTTAAGCATTTAATATAAATCAATATTAATGCCATTAAAGCTAAAACTAGTAGACATTCAGAAGGGATGAGCTTTCTGTGCTGTAATGGAGCTTTAATTATCCAGATTAAACTATACACCAACTGATAAGTGATTAAAAAAATTACATCAATATTAAGTAGATTAATTTAAACTGCATTTCCCAAGAGAATCATAAATAATCGTAGACCTATTGAATCAATTCTGGAATAATGCAACAAATTTTTCCGGGGCTGTATAATGTCTTTGGCCATTCTTACAGCAAAGTATACACAGAACTAAAAGGTAATTGTGGTGTATGCGTATGTTTTAATTGTTAATAAATCCATATCATATTATCCAATTGCATTATTATAAAAGCCTCACGTGCATTGTCCATCAACAATAAATCCTTGAATTGCATTTAGAGGTTTTAAAGAAAATTCTGAAAGATACTTGGAAAAATCCCTATAAATGATTTACATTCATAATTAACCTCTGTCTTTTGCACTGATAATTTTGAGCTATGGTAAATTATTCATGTCAAACTCTGCAGTGTTTATTATGTTTTAGAGGGAAAGTGCTGCTAATATTAATGTATGCATTAATTTTTAATATTCTATTTATAACTGCCTTTTTAAACCTGACTGGTTGGCAGTATATTATTTTGTCAATCACATCAAAAAGAAATAATTGTAGCCTGGTTTAGGTCCATCCCTGGAGAAGCAGCTATATAATTTTATGGGATGCATTTAGGACACAGCCTCCTGTATGGAACTAATATGAAGAAAAAACAGTTTTGATAATGAGATTGGTCCCTAGCTGATCTTGGCAACCATGATGAAAATGGAAAAACTTGCAATTGGTCTTTTGTGTAAGTTTATGTCTGTCTACACAGACAGACATAAACTTACACAAAAGACCAATTGCAATTATACACTTGATAAACTTGATTTTTTTTACATGCACCATATACATGCTAGTAAAACAGTTCACCTTGCTGAAAGTTTCCAAATCTACAGTTGTTATTCTATCTGTGAACTTGTTTTATCAATAGATAAAAAAATGTAAACCAATAGGACAAATAGAGCATTCTATGTAGCAGAAGAAGTGGGCTAACTTTGCACTCTGTATTGTATCCAACATCACAAAAGTGATTAATCATGGGAAGAACACTTGGTAGAATTCAGAATTATTGTCCCAAATAGTAAATGAAGACAAGCAATATAAGAAATCCTTACTAGTACTACAGTGGAAAGTGGAATGTCAGTATGGTGTAACTTGGATTTGAAATAAAGAGATCCAGGTTTAAGCCCCAGCTCTATGCAGATCTCACTAGACAACTGTTACAGTTTCTTAGATCAACT